TAGGAACTAAACTATGCCAGTCTCAACGTGTGAAGTCAACACGTTTTTGAAAGGACTGTTCAACCTTGCCAAGCATGCAGGCTGCCACGCTAAGTGCTCGCTAAAACTCCCAGGTAGTCTGCAGGGAGAGCCAGACCATCATGAGCTGGAGGGCTCCAGGAGGCGGAAATTTCTGCATTTGTAGAGAAAAGGATGCAATTACCCCATTAACTCCTTGGAGGGCAATTGTATCTGCAGCCTCTGGGGGTATTTGATTCACCAGTAAAATCCCAAGGGAAAGGCACACCTCTTCAATGGAGCCAACCAGCCCTGTCAAGCTCTGCAGTTTGTTCCCCAAACCAATCAGCATCATCTCTTGTTTTATTTGGATTCAGCTTAGTCCTGCTTGCTGTCATCCAGAGCCTAATTCAGCCAGACAGTGAAAAAGTGAAGACATTGCACCACCTCTGGGCTCCAATTTGAAAAACATGTCTCTCAGTTTACATGCCTATAGTACACTAGGCCCTGATTCAGCAACGCACGTGCTTAAAGGTAAGCACGTGCTTAAATGTTTTGCTGCACAGGGATCAACTTAAGCAGGTGCTTATGTGCTTGATGAATCGAAGCCTTACCAATGCAGGATCTTAAACAAGTTTATTCTTACATTTCTTTTAGCAACCCCTTTTCAGTTCTCCTTTAAAAGAACTGCACCTTGATAAACCCACAGATGCCTGGAACTACAAGACAATAGGTCCACTCTATAGCATCTAGTCACACAACAGGGCACAGCTCAGCATTGTTGAAGCTGTTACCCAGAGCTGAGCGTCTTGAAGAGCAGGTGGGCAGCTACTGGAAAACTTTGAAAAACAAGCAGTCAAAAAACAACTCTGCCTCCGTGGGAGGTATATTTTCAATGTTTCTCCTACTGTCATTTTTATTGCTTCTTTTTAAAAGAGATTGTCTACTGAATTTTGGCTTAGCTTTACATCTAAAAAAACCCCCAAGCTGTTATTAAACCTCACACCAACAGAAATACTTCTATATTTTTTCTTCTTTAAAAACAACCTAAACAAATAAACTACTTTCTGCAGTCTCTGAAAGGGACTAAACTAAAAGTTAGACAGACTTTACTTCTTAGCTGAGAGAAATGCAAATATCAAACATACACAGTGAAAATTAAGTGCACTGTGGCATAGAACCAGGAACACTTTGCACCGCTGGAGGTATTCCACCAACAATCCCTGTAAAGGATAGCATTGCATAATTCTTCTTCTTCTTCTTCTTAAATATCTTCATTACAGTGAGCACCTAGAGACCCGAATTGAAATTGGGGCCCATTACGCCAGGCGCTGTACAGACATAGAACAATTCAAGTTGGAAATAAGCTGCAACTATTTTAACGGTGAGGGTAATTAACCATTGAAACAGATTGCCAAGGGGAGTGCTAAGTCTGTAACACTTGGAGTCTTTAAAATATATTTTTAAAAGATTTGCTGTAATTCATCCAAAGGCTTTGGGCTGGATAGCGTTTGCGAATGTGTATGAATGATGAATAATTCCATCCATTGCAGGAATTACTGGATGAAGTTCCTATGGCCTGTGTTACACGAGAGGTCAGACTGGATGTGAGCAGCCTTAAAAGCTTCAAATCTACACTAAGAGACGGTCCCTAACCTGAAGAGTTTATAATCGAGAGACAAGCCAGACAGAGGGTCAGAGAAACATTATTTTCCCCATTTTACGGCTGGGAAGCTGCAGCACAGGAATTAAGACCCTGATCCTGCAAGAACTTAAGCATGTGCGTAACTTTATTACCATGAGTAGCCCCATTGCTTTCACAGCCCCATTCCATCACACAGGAAGTCTATGGAAGAGCTAGGCATTCTGGGATATCCAGATCTGCTGACTCCCAGATCCGTGCATTAATCACAAAGCTATCCTTCCCCTCTGAAGATGAGCACAGTGGAGGAGGATGCAGGGGTTAATACTGATCAAAGAAAGTCTAACCCAAATGGTGCTTGGAATGCTGCGCAACACTGGGACCATCTGTGTGCATGGGCATGTGAGCTGGAGGTGTACTACCCTACGGGGATGGAACAGTGGTTAACACACCTAATTTTCTCCAGTGTAGGCAAGTCCCGATTCAATTTAGAGAAAGTGTTTAATACTTAAGCCGAGATATCTCTTTAGATTTTCTTTTTACATGCAGCCACCACTTTCTTTGCGAGCTGGAGCTAAATGTACCCTTAACCTCTGCATTTTCTCTCCCAGAATATTTTATAGTTACTCACCTGAGCTTGCTGCTCTTATTGTCTGTGTGTATAGAACAAGTTGGAAAGGAAAGGAGCAAGAAGAAGAAGATTATAACAGAAAGATAATCAATATTGCCACACCATATTGTGCCTTTGTCTGCTAGTCAGTCATTGCCAGACCAGTAAAGATCCCAAGGCTACTGCTTGCTTAGTTAAGCACTGATTGCTTTCCCCAGAGATCTGTAGCAGAGTGTGAACTTGAGAGACCTTACCAGGTGCTTTCCCCCCGCTTCCCACTCCCTCCCTAGCTCAGGGAATTAACCTCTAGTCAAACTGATAAACTACACCTCAGGGTTATTATTAGCCATATTCATTAGTGTCCTCCCTAATTAGTCTCTCTTAACGTGCAAAGTTAGGTTTTGGATACAATAAGAGGCTGGCAAAATAGTCCATGTTTTAAAATGAGTGGGCCAAATCCTCAGCTGGTACAAGGTGGCATCGCTCCACTGTAATCAGCTTGCACCAGCTGAGAATTGGATTCGTCATTTAAAGATGGTATAAACTGAATTGAGGCTGAACTCCCATGCTGTGGCCAGCCAGTGGGAATGGGGGTCAAACTGTACTGGGCCAATGTGTCCTTGTCTAAGTACAGGCTTTGTCTAGAACATAGGTTCTTAACACAGCTCTAACATGACTTGGCTCAGCTCTGTAGATTCTTGACCTATGAAAAATCATAAAGAAATAATAAAGTGACTAGAAATAACTCTATCCTGCCAGACTATTCAGAGTCAATGAATTTCCACGGTAGCCTCTTCCGGTTCACAGGAGCTACAGAAGACTTGGAAAATCCAGAGGGGCTCTGGTTTATTTTTGTTGTTCCTTGAAAATGTTTAGACTACAATTAACTAAACCACAGTCAAGACGTGTCTTCATCAACATCATACGGGATGATATGTGCTATTTGGGCTACTCTGCAGAGGCTGCAGGACTGGATGAGTTCCATCAGCAAAGCTGTGTGCGGGAGCCCAGAACTGGAACAGCGAGTGAGTTAACTGGCTGCTGCAAGGTAGGATAGAGAGCCCCAGTGAGTCTTGTGAGGTCAGCACCTAGCTACCCTGGCATTTGACAGCTGTGTGTGTGGAAACGTACATGGCACCTGCCTGCAGGACACCAGAAACACTAGATCTGTACCTTCATGAGCACTAAAATGCAACTAAGACATATTAAAAGAAGAAACTGACAACGCAGAATGCACACACTAGGGCTGCAGTATAACTCCATGCATGCATGTGAATCCATAACCTCAAACCCAAGCCTTGAACGTCTCACTCAAAAGCTCTCTTCCACGTCCCTCTCACTGTAACTGAATCCTGCTTTCTTTTCACAGCTGATGCTTCACCCAAAGTGCTTTGAAATCCATTGTCGACGTATATTTCCGGAGGGGGGGAAAGGGGGACTTTGTAGTGAAACTGGAAAGTACACACAGAGCACAGGTTTCCCAAAGCAATTTCAAATCAGCCTTCCGGCTGGCCCCAAGCCGAGTGCATCCCATGAGAAGACAAAGGGAAAGAATACACTGCAGGAAACCATCACCCAGCTTTCTCCCCAGAGCGAAGCAAAGCCTCATTCCTGCTCTTGCCAGTGGGGAGAAGCAAAATGTTCTCTGCAGATGGCAGAGGGACCTGCCCGAGGGTCGCTCTGAACTCAGTTTGAACTAGTGGACTTCGGACTGCTCCAAAAATACGGATCCAACCAATTTGCAGACAGAAGTGACTCTCTGTTGACAGCGCTAATTAATGTAGTTCAGACACCGAGGGTGTAATTCACGCCCGCACACATGGCCAATGCAAGGCCTTGTGCACTGTTTCATATCCCCTTAAGCCCTATAGCTGTTACATAGGCCATATGCGGAGGTGAATTTCACTCTGAAGGAAGAGCTCCTATCATGATTTTTTAAAAAATATGGTGCAGCTGTTGCATAATATTCCCATGTTACCCTCACTCTCTCCCCCTGTCATTGCTGACTCACTGCCAACCTCTCTGTGGATAACTGAAGGCTTGCTTAGGCTGATCTCACCAGCCTAGGCTTTTGACATCACAGCCAGAAGTCTGAACTCTTTCAGGGCAGCAGCCAAATCTGTGCCTCCTCTTTTTAATCTCCATACAGCCCCTAGCCTGCCATGGGAGTTACCAGGCATACAGGGAAAACAGCACCTGCCAGAATGCAGAGATGAGATGTAGTGAAGGCTGGAGTGTGTTACTGCACGAGGAGTCAGGCTGCGAGAGATCATTGATTAGAAAGAAGCAAGCTGCCTGAAAACACAATGAATAAGAGCGAGGGGCATAAGACCCAGGTCCATGCCTATAATCCCCCTCCTACTAAAACCAGCCGCAAGGCTGGGAGTTATAGCTAGTATATGGGGGGAAATTCTGATAGCGGCCCATACAAGACAAGGCTCTCTGCATTGGGGTCCACTTCCCCCTTAATAACTGTGCTATTTGAGTGCTGTTCATTGCTTTGCAACAGGCTTTGGCATACCCAGAGGCTGGCATGTGCTATAGAAATCCAGGACCTGATTCCCATTTACATTACTGTCCACTTACACTACTCCTGTTTTGAAGCTAGGTAGATCAAAATACACTATGGATCTTTTAGTGCACGGCCGCAGGGCCACATGGACATGTCGTTCATGGCGGACTCATGCAGGGTAGGTTTACACCACGGCTTATCACAAACCGAGACAAGGCAAGGGAGGTAATATCTTTTATTGGACCAACGTCTATTGGTGAGATTTAGCCAATTCAAGATGGCGGTGCCGCTCCTTCATAGCCTGACTTGGTCGTAACCCAACCATAGGGGATCCACCGTTCTCGCGGTGTTGCTACATACAAACCCCTCTGCTCATTGTCCGCCGTGTGCCGAACATGCTTCAAGTGGAGTTGCAGGTTGTGCTTGCTTGTCTCGTTTTGCAAAGCCAAGTTTCCAAACCTCACTTCATCCCATCCCTGAAGCCTCACCTTGCTCCCTCACAGCCGGAATTCACCATCAAGATCTGCACAGTGGGAAAGATCAAACAGAGGAAGCCGTTTTGCGTTTGCCTTTTAATGGTTTTCTGCTCCTCTCTCTCACAGGCACAATATAGGTTTCTTGGAGGACAGCAGAAAAGTATGAATAATAGATTCTGAAGTATGGATAATTAGCAGATCAAATAACCACAAGAAGTGGGTAATTTTTTTTAATCATCTGTAGATATTTTCCTATTCCCATATTTCTAAATATATGATGTGTACCCTCCAGGTACATTTCTCCTCCTAGTTCATGCAATAAAAATGGAGAAGCCTAGCATGTTTTTATTTTAATTTAATGCTCATGAAAGTCAGAAACTGAGGGCTCTGGTTAGAGTCAAGAATTGTGTGGGCAGGTTTTGTATGAGCTTCCTGACACAAACACTGCAGTCCTGATCTGCATCACACCTGCCATTTGCTCCCATGTTGTTTATCTGCTTATAACTCAGATCTTAAGTGGTTTATAAAAGTCAGCGATGCTCTCAGGGTCATGGGTCACCACATATCCACCCCAGAATGACAGCAAGAACCCTGGGACCAAACTCAGACCTGACATAAACGGGTGCAATCCCACGGACATCAGTCTGACCCTAGAAGTCAAGGTACATTTCAGTGGCAATTTAAGTACTCCCTGCCTATCATTTACTTATGGTATTGCTTAGGCTCAATTAATGACGAACATGCAAAGCACTAAGATTCTCTGATAATAATAATGATCATTTTGGCAGAATCTTTTAATACATGGTCTGTCTTCTGGATGAAACCAAATCAAGTCATCTATATTTCCTAGTGTTCCTAAGCACATGAAGGCTGGAATAATGTCTCTCTTGCTTGAGATTGGTTTGTCACTGACACTGTAGGGTCACTCATCACCTCCCTGGTGGTTTTGTTATGGTAGGATCACTCATGAGCACTGAGCTGCGTACATGTGATGGTAGTGTTTTACATGAGTGCAGTACATAAGAATGGCCATACTGGGTCAGACCAAACATCGATCTAGCCTAGTGTCCTGTCTTCTGACAGTGGCCATTGCCAGGTGCCCCAGAGGGAATGAACAGAACAGTTAATCATCAAGTGATCCATCCCCTGTTGCCCGTTTCCAGCTTCTGGTAAACAGAGGCTAGGGACACCCATCCCTGCCCATCCTGGCACACCTAACAGTGATTATCTTTGAGAAAAATAGAGACCAGAAGCATCTGTTTTGAAAGAACTCAAGAATTATGTGAACTTTTTAATACTTAAAAATGTATCCTGCAGAGTGTTGCAAATCTTGGCTCACCCAGCCTTGTTTCATTTAAAGCAGCTGTTTTATCAGCAAGCCCAGATAAAATTCTTCCTCCAGTGACATATGAAGGTAACACAGCTGTGGGGAGACTGATTAATTTCATAGCCGTATCAGTATTCTGCTTTTTTAAAGTTCTTCTATTTCATCCAGCACCATGATGTCGGAGTGTAACCCACTGGTGACGGGTGTTACAGGTCCCCCTCAGTGCCCAGCCACAGAGGATATGGGTTGCTACAGCCCCAGCCACTGTAGCTGTTTAGCTCAAGTGGTAGCAGCTCATGTTTTAGCTGCAGAAGTCCCTGGTACCACGCCACGTGTGTTGGCCATGACGGCAGTCATCGCAGGAGAACCTACGCAGTCATTGAAAATAATGGCTCCCAGCTCAATTAATGTTGGATGGTCCAAATTGTATGCTCTTCGAGCAGTGATGAAGTTAATTTATATTCCCCCAAACACAGCTGGTTAATGAGCGTCAGGATTAAAGATCTACATTTCCCAAAACCAGGAGGTGGAAATGTGCATTGGCAGCTAAATATGGACACACAGTTGTGGGTGCATGTATGAATCCTTGCGGTTGCAACCGTTTAGAAGCCTAAGTGCCTGACTGCACCCACATATCAGATCGCTGGGCATCTAAATACTGCAACTGCAGGTGCCAACACATCCCATTTATTTATGCATCCAGTTATTTGCATGCACAAAATTGCACCTGTAGTATCCAAGGCCAGGATGAAGCTCAGCTAAATAGCGAGTCCCTGTCTGCCGCGGATTGAAAGATGTTGTTCAATGTCAAGAACAGGTAGAGGGAGCTGCCATCATGGAGGTATTGGTTCCAGCAGCCCCCTTGAAAAACAAATGGACGTCCTTCATTATCCATCGCAATTAACCTATGCAAATGAGTGTTAATGACCACTTCCCCAGCAATTTACTTCCCTCGCTCATCAAGAGCCCTATGCACTGCTAAGCCACAAACAACGCCACTGAAAATAACATGTATTTGGCAATCAGATGGCACCTCCAGTGTGAAAGGGAGGGAGAGAGAGAGAGAGAAAGAAAGAAAAGCAATTAAACTGTCAGCCCTGGTACCTTTCCTTTCTGACAGTTCCTGAAAGGTGATCTCAGCTATTTACTGATGCCACACACCCAGAAAAAGTGCTGACAGCCACCCTAGCCACAGTTGTTGTTAAATACCCCCTTATTGCTCTAATCTGTTCATTTTCATGCTGGTGAATGGGGGATTGATCACTGACACTGACCTGCCAGCACGCCACTGTGATGAAACCAGGACATTAGAGCTTTTCGCCTGCAAACTTGGCAAGGGGGCCAAGTTTGTTAGCAGAAGCAGAGACCAAGTGAGGAGAGAGAAAGAGGATGTAGCAGCTAAAGGGCCTAGGAGAGAACCAAGGCAGATTCACAGCAAACAAGGCAGGATGCCAGATGGAACTCCGGAGAACCGAAGGTTTGCCTTCATTTAACCTCTGTCATTTTGCAAATCCTTTTGGTGCCTCTGTTTGCTTCCATGTAGCATAGGGGAGCATGTCCCTAGACTCCCACAACTCCTGGGACATAAGCTGATCTGTGTCAGGTCTCAGCTATACAGTATGGGGAGGCCGAGTGGCTTTAGCCTTCCACCCCTAGAGATTTGGGTTGGTCAAAGTTTGCGTAGGGCACAAGTGCAATGTGTGTTTGGGGGTTCTCAAGCATGCAGACTGGTGCAGGAGTGTGAATGCCAAGCACCGAATGAAGCTACTTGTCAGATCAGAATAGGCTCCAAGGGTCCAATTCGCCCCTCCACTGGCACGGAGCCCAACTCCAGGGCTGGGGGGAGCCCTCTGAAGCACCAGGCATTGGCCACTGATACTGGCCTAGATGAACCTTTGCTCTGACCCAGTATGGCCATTCTTATAAATGGCAGGCACAGATCCTCCCTTCTCCTCTGCGTCAGCCCCCTGGCCCTCCGGTGACATTGGGACCTAGCCATATTAAATGTGAAAAATCTTTATGGGCCCCATCACCTCTCCCACTGAATGCACCCAGAGCCCAACCACACCAAGGCAGCTTGGCCTCAGTTGCATTCCGGTCCACAGCTGGGAGACCCCCTGCACTGAGCAGAAGACTCATACAGTCCCTTGCCTGGGTGGGTAGCAGTTGTGCTCTGCCCCTCCTCCCCCATATGGGGCAGTAGGATCGCTGCGGGAATGATGTAGGAAGGAGGTAGTAACTTCTCCAAGTCCAGTCATGGAGGGGATGGCAGCAGGTGTCCTGCATCCCCTACTCTGGCAGGGGGCATTGCACTGGCTTTTTCCCTTGTGCCCTCTTCCAGCTGCCACCCAGAAGAGATGAGAGCAGCATCACGGGCAGCAGTGACTCACCTCTTTCTCTAGGGCTGCATTGGCTGGTGGCTGCTGAAATGTAGAATTTGTAAAATTTCACAGTTTGCAGGAAAAATCGTGGAGAGTCTGAAAAAAAACAAGATCCACATGGGTTTGTCTGTTTTCCTTGTGCTCACAGGGCTCTCTGCTGCTCGCCTCTCCTTCCAATGAAGGCTGGCATGGCTTTATTTTTCAGTGCGGCATGCGGAGGGGATGAGGGTCTGGAGAACTTTGTGAATGCCCCACTGTAAACACAGAGCGTTCTCTCCTGCCTGCAATCTCACCCTTGTACCCACCCTGGAGGGGAGTCAAGCCACACACAGGAAGGGCCTGGCTCAGGAAGAAGCTGTCACAGCATTGCGCATGCTTTAAACTCAGCTTTAAAATTTTCAGTTTTTGACACATCAGCGTTTTCCAAGGAAAAAACATGCAGTTGAAAAATTCCTGACCAGTTCTAGTGTTCGTGTAATTTTTATGCAATCCCACACTTCTTTTTACTGGCTGGCTGCAGATTCAGCAAGACAAATTGTACCACCAAGGTGACTTGCGGCTAGAAAAGAAACATCATTATTTTACCTCGTTTTTTCAAGGAAAGCTTAGGACTTAAAAACATGCATGTAAAGCAAGCTGTGCCGGGGGCTGGACCAGATGACTTCTTGAGGTCTCTTCCTGCCCTCCATTTCTATGCGCCTGTGTCTCAGGAATGGAAAGAACTGATGTCCATGCCTACATAGAACAAAACAAAGCAGCACACATAGCTTCTTAAGGTACACGACAATGATTCTGCGAATCTATCAACAATTTCTCCTGCAGCCTGGAATCGCTGGCAAAGCCCAAGGCTGTAGCGGCTGGTACTTATGAGCATATTAGTCATAGTTTATTTCCATTCCATAGACAAAAACATGTCTGGATCCCAAGAGAGGGGAGCCAAGGCATCCTTAGAGGACAACAACAATCCCCAGCCACACTTGATCCTGTCAAGAGGACCCAGGGCAAATACTAGCCCTAGGGAAGTTAATGCAGGTTAATTAAACCTAGCTGCTCAGGAAGGGCGTGGCAAACGCAGAAGCGATGCTTCTGCAGGCTGCCTGGTGCGCCAGTCCCTGTCACGGCGTCATCATTAATGGTTCTTGTATAAGCCTCAGGGCTCATTTGCTTGAGAAGAGCAAAGCGGGTAATTTTACTGTAGAACACTTGCAAAAGCAATGCCCTGACTGTTATCAAAACTGACAGGCAAGTTATGTGAGCAGTTAACTGAAGGTTACATTTTAGGGCTGAACCACTGAGTAGATCAGACATCAATTAGTTCATGCACGAGAAGATGAGGGAAAAGCAAGAAAAGAAAAAAGGAGGAAGGAAGAAAGGGAAGTGGGGGAAAGGAAACAGCAGCAGAGAGATGGATGTAATCAGTTTACTTGAATCTATGCTTGCAGAGATAACAGGGGAAGGACCTTACGCCAGACATCCGCCCAACTGTGCTTACCAGGGAGTCTTGACTACTGCAGTTGGATGACAGTTACTTTGGTTCAGGCAACCCAGCTGGGACAACAACAAACTGGTACTGAAATGTAAAAGTAAAAGGAACACCCTAAATTCTGTCCTCCATCAGATCTGTTTCCTTCCTACAATTCCTCCAAACTGAATCCCCAAGAGACAACTTTCAATGCATGAGAAGCCACATAACTCCTGCTACCAGGAGCTAGAGAAGAACAAGAACAGCTGAGATGTATGAACGGGTAGCAGACACAAGAAGAAGGAGATGAATGCACTGGTGACTTTCAGGCCAGGAAATACTAGTTGGATTTCAGCTCAGGAGAGGAGAGCAAGCTTCGCCAGGATGGGAAACCGCAGGGAAATTGGCCCCAGCTTTCTACATGAGCCAAATGTTTACAAGGCACCAAAGTATTTGGGGACCCATTTGGTAAGGTAGATGCAGTTGCCATTATTATTATGGCTGCTGTTAGGAAATATTTCTCAGTTAAGCTTCTTGCTTAAATTTCAGAACCATGGGATTGGTGGCTTATCGTAGCTTAGAAAGGTTTCCCTCTTGGGAAGATTGCTGGGTAAGCTAGAGAAGTAAGTTTCATGGAAACGATAGGACCTCATACAGACAGGAAGCTAAATTCAGCTATGGTGTATGTGGTTCAAAATTGATGGCATTGCCCCTGCTTACACTCAGCCAGGATTTGGCCCACAGAGTTAAAAGCATTTCTTCCATTTTATGCAACAGTGGAGGAGGGATGGAGGGAGAATGACACAGCTAAGCTCCTAGCCAGGAACTCAGGAGAGCTGAGTTCAAGACCATTCTCTGCATGGGAACCTTGGGTAAGTCACTTTGTCTCTTCAGAGCTCAGTTCACCGTGTATAAAGTAGGGCTAATAGTTCTGTACATGTGATGGTAATGAGAACCATAGATAGAATATTATTACTGCTATTTATTAAGCTCTGTAGAGGTAGACAGCCCTTTACAAGGACACAGAAGGACAAGGTCCCTACCCTGAGTTTACATTTTATATTACCAGGATGTAATGCAAAGCCAGAAGGGCTGGAACACTCTGTGCTGGAGACATCACTCTAGGAACATTGAGTACTGTACATGCAGATAGTTTTAAGGAGGTAGCAGGAAGAGAGGCTTCTTGACACAAAGGCTATGGGAGGCCATGCCAAGTGACGGAAGCAGCGTACAAATAAAAAGGCTGGAAGTTGAGAATGGGAGGAGAGACAAAGGGAGCCCTCTGGAAGAGGAGCCAGGCAGTGACTAGGTCATGAGGGCAGAGGCAGGAGAAAATGAGAGCTGAGATGTGCATGGGCGGAGCTGGGCAGAGAAGATGCTGGAACAAGACACAAGTCAGTGGGAAACCATTCAGGTTCTACGGTGATGAGGGCCATATAAGTACCTAGAAAGACAGAGCAGGCAGTGAAGGTATAGGGGATGGGGCGACATGCTCAGGTAAGGGGACAGAAAGGTGATTTTTGCTGTACCGTTTTGGACAGTTTATACTGTCTCCAGCCTTGACGCATCACCAAGTCCCATTGCTCCCTCTCATAGAAGACTTAGTTTTCCATGCACAAATGGCCATCATTTCCCCACATCCTTTGCAGATCGAGGTGAAGCTGCTGCTCATGAAGACAGCCACCCACTTGCATTGTTTCCAATGGGTTAGAAGCCAGGCTGCCCTCAATGGAGATGGCTGCTCTCTATTCAGCACGAGCCTGATGCAGAATTACTGAAGGCAGTTAGATACTGCCATTGACTTCAATGGGCTATGCATTGGGACCCGAGTGGGAGACCATGGGAGTGTGGGTGCCTGGGGAAGTAAAGTGGGAGACTGTGTGTGGGGGATATAAGGGAATATGGGATGCAGAAAGGAAACAAAAGGTGGCACACAGAACTGTGGGGCAGGAAGGAAACAAAGAGAATGGTAGACCAGGAAAGCAGACTGGGAGAATGTGTAGGGAGGAGACTGTGAGGGGAAAGGGAGGGAAAATATGCGGTAGGTGAATACAGAGGAGAAGGTGTCTGACATAAGACAACAGAGGTGCACGGAGGGACTGGGCAGGCCAGCTGGGAAAGGAAGCAAGAGAGTGATAAGGGAGGGGGATGGAGTAGGAACATGACAGCTCCCTACGGCCCCCCTCCCCCCAGGGTTAGGAGAAACTCTCTCCTAGCAGTGTACAGAGGCCCACACTAAGCTCTGGGTCTGTGTTTCAGTTTGAATTCCAGCCCCTGACATGATTTCACACGGCTCGGAGATAGTTGGCTTCCCCCAGGAGAGGGGCAGTGCAAATGGACAACAATGTGTCGTTTTTCTTTTCACTCTCCTGCTCTCTAAACCATGCTCACGATTCCTTGGGATCGGACACACGATTTAACAGCCCGTGCGGGACTGGCAACATTGCTCACTGCATCGTGCCCACATCCCACCCTCTGCCCAGCAGCCACGCGCAGGCTCTCCCATTGGGGACCTCTTTCTAACTGCAGCCTGCGCTTGTCCCCTCCCCACCATAGGGAGTGCTTTCGTGCGGTACCATGCATGCTCTTCCTGCGCAGAGCCCTCTGTGCAGAACGCACTTGGCCAGGCAGGGAGCATGCCCTCTCTCCCTCTCAGCGGCAGCAGGAAAGCTATTTTGTACTGCAGCATGCATGATTTCACTCCCCCCACCCCCTCTCTTTGCTCTATGTCACTACCCAGCTGCCCAGACTGGCAGTCCTAGCAGCAGCCAAAGGCTGACCCTGTTTGTTGTGGTTATGTGCTGGAGCCAGTGGTGGGTAGTGAAGCAGTAGTCGTGGGCTGCTTGGCAGCCTGTCCTAGATTGCATCACCACCAGCAGCGACACTGGGAGGGCTTCCTGTGACCCTGAGCCTCAGTGGGAGCAGGAGACCTCGGACATTGTCTCCTGTGCTTTACCCTTGCTGGCAGATCTTCTCTTCTGGCTCTGACCTCAGCCAAAAGCTTGAACACCACTACCTACACTCCATGGACCATGGGTTTTCCATGGGTCCAAATTCAGGAGAGTTTCTACTTTGCTACCACCCAGCCAGAAGCACACACCAGACCCTCTCTTGAAGGGAAAAATCCAGCTAGGTCTCCCCTAGGCCCACCTTCCCCAGCAACAGGAAATCCAAGCTAGTTTCTCAGAGACCTGACTCCTGTTGGCAGCAGGAAGGCTGCTAGCTGGTGAGGGTGGCATCTGCGTGGGCTTATGGTCCTTGACTGTTCCTGGGCTGATACACAACAGAAAACAAACCCACAGTCCTAGGTGTGCTATGGGCCATTAGCCCAGCTGCAAAGCAGGGATTTCATCTTGTCAGCTCTGCAGCTGGGCTAACGGCTGGGAGTCGTTGAGGTGCCCGGGGAGCTTGCAGGCAGGGAGATTTAAATGCCCAGTTATTTATTTTCAGATAGGGTAAATTCTGGCCTGTCAGCCTTGGCACATGTCCCTTTCACAAGTGTAATAAATTCTTGCCAGGCTGGACTGTGGCTGAATGGGTGTCTTCGGTTTTGGATGGGAATGGTGTGGCCGTAGGGTGACCAGATAGCAAGCATGAAAAATCAGGACGGGGGTGGGGGGTAATAGGCATCTATATAAGACAAAGCCCCAAATATCGGGACTGTCCCTATAAAATGGGGACATCGGGTCACCCTATGTGGCCCTGGCTTTTCTTTCTCCTGCCTCCTCTTCCCCTGCCCTTTCTGCTCTTCAGCTTCCCTGGTGAGAAGGTCACAGCGTTCTGCTATAGCCGTATGCTCACTGGGTGCACCCTAGCTTGATTGATATGAGGAGACTTGATGCAAGCAAGCACTAAACCCTAAAGAGAACAACCATTGGTTTTCTGATCACATTCAGGACCGGTTGTCAGGCTCCAAAGGCACTGGGATTTATTGCACTGAAATGTCGCAGCGGCACAAATCTGTGAGGAGCCTGCGGAGCTGCACACACCAAAATAAAAATTCCAGGCCACTCGGCGATATGAAATATTTCTTAATTACTTTTCCATTTTAACATCGCCTGAATTTTTCAGACTATAAATGGCAGCAGAGCGCAATTAACTCTGGCTTCCATACTGCTTCTCATAAAGGTCTCGCTGCCTGCATCATCCAGGGACGTGCTGCTCACGGAGAACACTGGCTCAGGGATGACAGCAGCCTTCGTCAACACAGGATCATTTACCTCATGCTGAAATGCGCTAAAGTTTCCTCCCCCGGGGAGGGTCTCCAGAAAAGCTTCAGGAAGGAACATTATAATACTTACTGTTTAAAAGAGAGTCAGGTATGCTCCTTCAATTGATTCACCAGTCACCTTTCCAGTCAATACTTTTTGATATTGGCTTCCCTGGTCAATAACTTTTGCTGCATGGAATATAATTCTCAAGGAGTACAGAGATGTGGTCGCCCCACCCTCTGGAGTAAACCTCCCTCCTTGTCTCTTCCTCTCTCGCGCCCTCTAGGTCACAGAGAAACATGGCAGCAGCTGGGTAGCGTGATGCCAGGATTTTCGCTTTGGCAAATGCTTTCTTGTCAGAATCACAGCAGTTGAAGCATGAACTCCAGTGGCCCCTGCACTCAAGCTCTTCCCAGATCCTTGCCCCAAGCATCCCTGCTGAGCTGGAATACTGCTGGAGGGTGGGGGAACATGGCAGGCTGACCTGGGCATGATCAAAGAGTCACCCGCACACCCGCTCCTTATTCCAGACACACACACAACCCCTTAAAGCTGTGTCCGGATTCCGACACCACAGCAACTTGCCAGGAGCCCTATATGGGCTGCACCTAATTCACATATCAATTTGCATAATCATTTCAAACCGAAGGAAATGCAACCATGATCTCTGTTTCCGCTTGGTGCGTAAATAGTAGAAACTGAGTGGCCAGCAATAACACCCCTTCTCCCCCCCAGCTCATGGCTGACCTTTATGCTGCACGTATGTGGCCAATTCCATGAGCTACAGATTAGGCTGAATATGTTGACTGCATTTGTTGTGTCCTGGGCTCCTGGCAGCTCCTTACATCCAAGCACTGAGTTTTAATAGTGAGGTTAATATTAATTATGGGCTGGAGTCAACACCCATGGAAGTGAAGAGGAGTCTTTCCATTAACTTCAAAGGGTTTTGGATTGGGCCCTGTGAACAGTACAGAACAGATGTCCCCACACCGTCATCCAAGACATCTACGCACAGCTCTCTCTTGCCTCCCGCAGGCCTGTCCCAGCATGCACTGAGCTCACTGTAGAAGTAGGAAGGATTCTCTTTCTGGGTTGTTCCAAAATCCAGGTCAGGAATGGAGAGAGGATGCATCCCTAGGATACTGCAGCAGCATTCACTCACTGCAACCCTCCTGGTGATTATATTGCCTGCTGCTGGAATACTCTCCCACTGGTGATGTCAGAGCCATGAAACTTTCCTCGAGGGGTCAGGTCTAGTCTAGTCTATACTTGGTGGACTCGTAATGCTGCCAGCTTTTATTTGTAACAAAGCAAGTGCATTTTTTTAATCCTGGAAAAACTGCCTCTCCCCACCTCTTACACACACACACACAAAATATCCTATTCCATACCTACTGGATTATTTCTTTTCTTCTGGTTGCATTCCTGTGCCTTGCACTTTCACTGAATGGGCCACTTTGAAAAATTGCACACACACAAAAATTCCTTCCATCCTGTCCCACACTTTGTACACCAAGTTTCAGCCTCAGACAAATGTCTCTGGCCAAGTTATAAATCCTTGGACGTCGCCTATGACCTGTATGGCATGCGCCTCCAGAACAGACAGATGGCACAATTCCTAGGACTCACTTTCCCATTAATAAACCTTGTCTTCTAAAGTATGGGGGATCATGGATGGATGGATGGAAAAGAGAATAGTGCCTTCCCCAGCCCTGACCAATGACTATGGCAGGTCATTTCTTGAATGTTTTCTAGGTTAAACTCAGTCATTCATGTCTTGTTACATTATATTATGTAACATGATATGCTGATACAGTCTGATGGGCTGAATCCAAGAACACAGTGAGTCATGTAATAAATTGGAAGCCCCTTCGCCTCCGACACAGCATTTCCAAAAGTGAGGGTGAATCATTTTGATTTTATTTATTCATTTTTAATCAAATACATCTTTCTAAAACAAATAATGAAAAAATATATATATACCATTGAGGGAAAGGGGGGGTTAGGCTGGGTGTCTACTTAATAGAGTCTATAAAATATCTTAATTATTATTTCAAATTAACATATAACAGTTACCTAGACTGGGTGTCAAGACTCCTGGGTTCTCTTCCTTCAGTCAGTCACTGACACCATGTATGGCCATTAAGAATTCAGGTGAGACCAGATTTTAAAAAGTTCCCAGTCCCCCACATAAGTAGCCATGTTTCCAGATAAGCTCAGCGCATTTGATACTGAACACTTTTGAAAATTTAGTCCCTAACAGCTGTGTGCCTCAGTTTACCCAAGGGTAAAATACACTGCATAGGGATGTAATTAATGCTTGTAAATCTCAGATGAAAAGTACTATGTATGTGCAAAGTATTAATATTAGGTATTGCAGCTGAGAGACATACACTTTCATACTGTTATGTTTAACTGCAATAAGAAATGTATGGACCTCAAACTTAGTAGTGATTTGATAGATACAAAAAGACCTAGGGCTCACTAATAATAAATATTTTAATTTGATAATAACTGAAGAGAGAGGTGGCCAGGAAAGTACTTTTACTGTAAGCATTATTAGAATTCGCTTGGACCAGATTGCTAGCTGCGTTTGTTGATGTCTGGGTAAGGATTGGCTTAAATGCAGATGATTAAAATTGGTTTCAGAGTAGCAGCTGTGTTAGTCTGTATCCACAAAAAGAAAAGGAGGACTTGTGGCACCTTAGAGACTAACCAATTTATTTGAGCATAAGCTTTTGTGAGCTACAGCTCACTTATGCATCCGATGAAGTGAGCTGTAGCTCACAAAAGCTTATGCTCAAATAAATTGGTTAGTCTCTAAGGTGCCACAAGTCCTCCTTTTCTTTTTATGATTAAAATTGTACATTTTGCAGAAATTAAGAGGGTTCGTTTTTACCCTTTTAATATTGTCTCCAAAATACCTTCTAGGAACAGCAACTAATGCAAAAGTGAATATGGAATAAAAGAAGTTGTAACTTACATGATGGAAGAACTGGACACACCTGCCTTTTTGGACACCATTAGCTCAAGCACCAGGAACATCTTGGTCTATTTATTCTTGGACCTGTAGGAATTCTCCATTGAAAGAAGGAGGAAAAAACAGATTTAAATTGCTTAATGAGCAGTTATTTTAAAATGGAATTAGAGAAGTTATTATTTTGGGAAAGCCTAAAAAGTCAGAGTTTCTCCTTACAGGACAAGGTGGGTGAAGTCATATCTGTTATTGGACCAACTTCTGTTGGTGAAAGTGACAAACTTTGTGTAGCTGAGTCACCCACCTTTTCTCCCTAATACCTTGGGACCAACATGGCTACAACAACACTGCAAACAAGAATTTCTCTTGGAAAACTTAAGATGAAGAATCTGTGAATGAGGCCACACCTGCTCTTGCTTGCCTGATCTCTGTGGCCACACCCCCTAAAGCCCGTATCATTTGTATGGTAGCGTATTCTCAGCAGCTGAAGAGAAATGGATCAGAGAGGAGTATAGTGAGTTAATACCATTCGTTTTCCTATCACAGAGGGAAGAATGCTTGCTGCTTATTGTGCTTTAATAACTAATCTTCCGGAAAACCTCATTGCTATGTAATTATGGGTCATTTACAAAGCAAAAGCTGGTAGTTTCCTAATGCACAACCTTACTGAGTGTATACTCTACTCCTAGGAGAAGTCCTATTAAACTCAATAGGACTACTTGCCTGAGTAGGGGTTGCAGGATCAGCCCCTGAAAACATTTAAGGGCTCTCATGTCTTGTCAGATAGAAGGGCAACCAACAAAATTATAGCCCTGGGATGAAATTCTGACCCCATTCAAGTTAATGGGAGTTTTGCCAAGGATGTCAATGCAACCAGGATTTCATCCCTAATGTCTGATACTGAGAGATGTGGAGCATCTCCAGGGAGGTTCTGCAACTCCTCAACTCCTAGTGATTCAATGGGACCTGAAGAACACTCAGAACGTTGCAAGAGATGTTTAGCAGCTTGTAGTACCAGACCCCTGCTGGAGTTGGAGGGAGTTTGCCCAAAGATTTGACTGATGGGAAGCTCTATTTTATTTCTGGAATTATTTCTTCTTCTTCTAATGAATGGTCAGGCTTAAATCTCACTTTTTTCATTATAACACCAGTTTCACTTTTACCTTTTTTTCTCGTGGCCCAAGTTGTGTGAGATAAAAAGAAACGTAAACTCTTAAGGGTAAATGTTTTAATAAACTGGCATTTATTCCAATTCACTCAAGCAGAGAATATTTAAAATATAAATAAAGGAAAGAAGAACATGTATTTGTCCACTTGGACTTCGATTCCTCCCACTTTCCTTGCCATTTAAAACCTCTGATTTTTGCTAACCGAAATCCCAATAATGTGTTGTTTTTTTCATACACAAATACCATATACATTCTTTTAAATTACTCAGTAACTAAGGAGGATTTGCTTGGTAAATATTGTGTCACTACATAATACAGTAATTACATATTCTGCATACAGGTGGTAATTACATTGACTGTAGATTACTTAATGATTACAGTTTGTGGGTTCAGAAGTAATTAATGTGTCACCTGCACACTCTGGATTGTAAAGCGGAAATAATCCTATATTCTTTCTGGAGGGATATTCCCCACCCCTCCACACACACACACACAAAATATACAATCCACAAGGCAGGAGCACTCCAAAGGAGTTGGGCTGGGGAGAAGGGGAATTCAGCCACCTACCCTGGAGAGAGCATACAGGGCTGTAAGGTAGCCACCCCATGGGTACTCAGTTTCCTCTGAGCTTATTGTCATGGGGGTTCAGGGGAGAAACCCGACTGAGTACAGACACAGGAGTGGTGGAACCAAGAAGGTAGGGGGGCTCGCGCCCCCCCCGAAAGGAAATACAGCAGGGGCTCCACCCCCTGTAAACTTATGTACCTTGCCTCTCTCCCCCTCCTAGCCCTCTGCCCCACATTCGCAGGGAGCTTCCACCCCTCCTGCTCAGACACAAGAACCTGCAGGGTGTCTGAAGAAGCTATCCTGTGCATACCAGCCGCTTATCACCCGGGAGGTCTGACTATTTCTGGCACCTGCATTTCCTCCCTTCAGAAGCCAGAGACCAGTTACATATTCATAGATCTGGGTGAAATTTTGTGGCAAGGCATTTTTTTCTGTGAAAAACACAGATTGAGCAACACAGACATTTTGTGAATTCGTGTTGGTTTTGCCAAATTGCTTGTGTTGGGGTAAAAAGGTTGAAACATTTTGATTTCTCAATTTGAAATGATTTTCCATTTCAAAATGTCCTTCGGAGTTGTTTAAAATGATTTAAAACCTTTACAAATTCTCAAAATCAATATGAAAGGAATTGTTCCATTCAACCCAATGCACTTTTTTAAAAACCTTTCAATTTGTCAAAAATGTTTAAAAGAAATGTTGGGGTTGACCCCAATATTTGTTTTATATTTTTCAGAATTGCCAGTGAACCAAAAAAGAACCAGTTATTTGCATAGCTCTGCCTAGTCACTAAACAGCTTTCTTAAAACAAAGTATTTGTAGTCAGCAGCTGGAAAAGGCATTCAAGAAAAAAGGATTTTAAAATAATGGCTGGAGATGGGACATTAGATGGAGAGGGTTCTGAGTTAACTACAGAGAATTTTCTCCCAGTTGGCTGACTGGTGGGTCTCACCCACAGACTCAGTGTCTAACTGATCGCCATATTTGGGGTCTGGAAGGAATATTCCCACAGGTCAGGTCGGCAGAGTCCCTGGGGGGGGGTTCATCTTCCTCTGTAGTATGGGGCACGGGTCACTTGCTGGAGGATTCTCTGCACTTGAAGTCTTTAAACCATGATCTGAGGACTTCAGTAGCTCAGACATAGGTGAGAGGTTTATTGCAGGAGTGGGTGGGTGAGAGTCTGTGGCCTGCATTGTGCAGGAGGTCAGATTAGATGATCATAATGGTCCCTTCTGACCTTAATATCTATGAGTTTATGATCCATATACTGTCACCCAATCCCAGCTTCTGGCAAACAGAGGCTAGGGACACCATTCCTGCCCATCCTGGCTAATACCTATTGCTGGACCTATCTTCCATGAATCTATAACTTCAGTAATTCATCCAGAGGTTATTGGACTATTGCAGGAGTGGTTAGATGGGGGAGGTTTTGTGGCCTGCAATGTGCAGGAGGCCAGACTAGATGGTCCCTTCTGGCCTTAAAGTCAATGAATCTGTAAATAACAAACAGTCTGTATCAACCAAAGTGCTACCATGCCATAATGGTGACCTTGGGAGGCTTAGCTTCTTCAGACACACCTATGTGGTCCTGAATGCATCATAGTCTGGTTCCTCTATGCACCCCAGAGAGATTATGCCTTTGAACCTGGCAAGCGTTCTTTGTTCTCCAGGAGGCTTTTCCAAGTTCAGGTCTCCTCATCCCTTTCTGATCAAACAATAGACTCAGAGCTACTGGTTCTGGCATTGTCCCTTAACAACTCCTAAGTGGAAACTGATAGGTGAGCAATCCCCTCTTCCCTTCCTCATCCATCCCAGATGTGCTCTAGTGAGAGCTACACCAAAACATTCTTGCAAAAAACACGAGCCCATAACCAGAATGACATAGAATATTAAGTTTCAGAGTAACAGCCGTGTTAGTCTGTATTTGCAAAAAGAAAAGGAGGACTTGAGGCACCTTAGAGTCTAACCAATTTATTTGAGCATAAGCTTTCGTGAGCTACAGCATCCGAGATGCATCCGATGAAGTGAGCTGTAGCTCACGAAAGCTTATGCTCAAGTAAATTGGTTAGTCTCTAAGGTGCCACAAGTACTCCTTTTCTTTATACAATATTAACACATTTTATAAGCTTGGCTGGAAAAAGGGAATCCCCTCCTGGGAAAAATGTCATGTTTTTGAAAAAAATGTCATCCCAAATTGGGGTGAAAAGTCAAAAAAGTGATTTTTTTTCATGGAGGTTTCCAGAAAAAAATCATTTCAGGAAACCGGAATGTTTGGCTGGCTACCTGCCTGCCTGGAAGATTCTTGTCAATTTTACTTTCTGCTGCAGGCAGACAGGAAGCCATTGTTTGGAAAATCAAAATTTTCCAGCAGAATTGAAATTTTCCAGCAGAAAAATGTTGATTTTGCAAAAAAGGCATTTTCCATTAGAAAATCATTCCAAAGGAACATTCCTGACCAACTCTACAAATTTTTACAGGTGTGACGCTCTCTTCTAAGAACCCAGAACCGTTCTGTGTTCCCTTTCTGCCTTAACAAGAGAGAGCTTTGCTGGAGCTTAGACTGTGAGACAGCTCCCTGCCGCACCAGTTTGTCCCCTTCACCAGCAAACTCCTTGAGACTGTGCCAGTCTTAACTTTGTGTTTCAGGTACAATCCATGAACCCCAATCCCCAAGTTCCCCAGGGGGTCTCTCTGCGGTGTCCAGTTCCTCTCCCTGGGCACTCACACAAATTATTACATTCACTGCCTCCAAAGTGCACTCACCAGCCTGTTAGTTTAGCTGAGGTCCCTCACTTTAATATACAGCTGAGATGGCTCTGTCATAAAACAAGAATAAATTTATTAATAAAGAGTATCGATTTAAATGTAAACCCACAAGGAGTTTATTAATAAGCCCAATAATAGCTTTATTGAGTGTTCAAAAAACTTTGCATACTGTCTTCCCTGTTGATAGTATCCTGGTTTCATCAGCAAAATAATTATCCCTCAAAACTGGTCAAGAATGTGAGCCTTTAAAACAAATTCTCTGCTATTCTCCAAAAGGAGCCCATTATCTGGCTAGTGTCACTGCAGCTGATCACAGCTTGGGCTCATCTGGCTTTACCATGCCTGCAAGACACAGCTCCAGGTAGATGTGTCAAAACATATCTCTGTCTATCTGCAATCAGCTCTGCATCTTGGGTTATAACTCACGGGGCCTGATTCCTCTCTCTCACTCACTCATTCACGCTGGTGACAACTACATCGGAGTCAGTGCAGTTACACCAGGGTAAAGCTAGTGTGAGCGAGTGGAGAATCAGACCCATGCTGCCTTCCCCTGCCCCCAATTGCAGCATTTTCTATCTATTGCCTTCACATAACTTTGTCCCAGTCTGGTGTTGGAGGAAGAGTGTTTGTGACTAAATAAAAGACTTGGGTGAACTGCCAGAAGGAAGATAAAATCACATCTGGAACTTATCTAGGATAAGTTCTGTGGACTCCCTTCTGTGGCTCCCTTCTGTGGACTTTTAAAAGGAGAATGATTTTCACCCAAAAGGGTCCCAAGCTGGAATTCCCTTAAATGAGAATAGTAAAGCCAAAAAAACCCTAAATAAATAAGTGTTTTCTGACATGCAAATAAATACAGTCCCATAAAGATTTATTTAAAAATATTCCCCTCCCATTTTGATGATAGATCAGATCCTGACTTCTTCCTTTTTGCTGGAGGACTTTGGCAGTTTCACCTGAGCTGTGGGTTTTCCTGTCCTAAACTGAGCTGGGGGGAGGATGTTCAACTGGAGACCCTGATCCTGCAATCAGATCCATGGGCAGACCCTTACCCTTGCATAAAGTCCTTTCAAGTTCAGCGGGGGTCCAGACCTGAACCCAAATACAGGATCTGAGCCATCGATGGTGCAGATTTCAGTCTGTTGTGATGTCACTGTCAAGGTCCTCCAAAGACCTTGCAATAATCCTCCAACACAAAGAAAGAAAATAGGACTTACAAGTCAAGCAGTAGATTTTCTTTTAAAATAAAACATTGTTGCTCCTTTCTGATGGATTCAAATTGACTCAGAGAGCTTCAGTTTTTGCATTGCAGCTCACCTTTAATCTAACGTTACTATGAAGTGGATCCGAGCAATATCCCTGCCAAGCACTGAAGACTACAGTCAGTTCTTCTTTGGGTCGGTGAGGAGAGGATGGGAAGGAGAGAGCAATTCCTACTCGATGGACAGCTATGACAAATCAATTGCCAAAAGCTCCGTTTGGTACACAATGTTTCACCCTTTATGTTAAACGCATTTGCCCTTATTAACATTTTATCTGTGTGCCTGAGAGAGAATGCGAGACTTGGCAAATGGTCAGGAATCTACCTCAGGAATAAGCTTTCCTGGCACGCAGAACCCTGCCGCTAAATAGCTCAAGAGCAATGATGAACTCAGAAAGAGCTGTGAAAAAAATGACTGGAGATGCGGGGAAAAGAGTGGCTCGAGAACAGAAACAAGCTGAAGGCTGGGACTGTGTGAAGATATGCAGACACGCTGCATGCCTCAGAGGGGAGATACCAGAAGGTCCAGAGTTCTAATCTCTGCTTAGCCACTGACTTGCTTCACAGCCTTGGTCACATCACTCTTCTGTTTATGTCTCAGTCTCCCCTTCTGCAAAATAAGGATACTAATACTAACCTCTATCACAAGGGGGTTATGAAGTGTGAACAGTGTTTGTTCAGCACTTGGAGAGCATCAGAGTGTCCTTGTATAATATCCCATAATAGGACATACCTTTTTTATTCATTAGTTGCTTGTCTCAGAACCAAACGCCAGTCAGCATTGGTAACGGGTGTTTCAGGGCGAGGTGGCACCAGGAGTCACTGGGGTCTAGAGGCTACATTTTGGCTGATGTCAGGAGTAAAATGAATTACATAATCCCAACCGAGTCGGCTCATAACCACAAGGTTCAGCACGGCCCAGTCAGAAGTCCCTGCTGAGCAGATGCTCGGGGCTAAATCGTATTTGCCTTAGGACAAGCTCCCACAGAATTTGCGTGAGTGTGAGTAAAGAAGAGCAGGACTAGCCCCTGCCCTCTTCAGGGCTAGAATAGCAGAAAGTGTTGCTGGTCAAAACTGAAGTGCACTGGCAGAGCAATACAGGAGCCCTGAGGTGGAAAAGCAGGACGTGCCATAGGTCACATGCCTGAGCTGCACAAAGACATCTGCACAGGAGTAGGAGGTCAAATCTGAGATGCAGTGACAGATCTACACGAGGGAGGCTTGCACTGCACCTTCTTGCACATTGTCTGGCTCAAGCTGGTGCCTGCTGCATTCCTGAGCGTAAAACAAAACAAAAAAGAAGGGGGCAGGGGGAAAGTAGACCATGAGTGAACTTCTGACGCATTCAAGTACCCCTGCTGGAGAGTGGGATTCATGTACAGAATAATTTAAGCGCCAAAGGCTTCACCAAACGGCTCAGATGCTATTATTTCACTGTTTGGTGGCCAATGGCCATACCGGGTCAGACCAAAGGTCCATTCAGCCCAGTATCCTGTCTTCCAACAGTGGCCAATGCCAGGCGTCCCAGAGGGAGCGAACCTAACAGGTAACGATCAGTGACTCTGGCATCATCAGCTGAGGAGGAGCAGAAGTGACAGAAGAGAAGAGAGAGGGGCTACTCTAATACTCAGGGAAAGAAGAGAAATGTTTAATGAGACTGTAGCCCTGGTTTTGCCCCCTACAGAAATGCCTACCTGGTGGCAGAGGGACCAGGAGGGACAGTGGCGTACTGGCAGTGCTGTGCGGGGCTTCCAGATTAGAGTAGCAAGAAGTGTGGGTTGAGGTGAACTAGGAAGGTTGTATGCACCCAAACCTGTTGCTACGTCCTCAGTAGCTGCGATTCCCTTGCGTGCTTACCCATGTTTGCACTGGTTCCTGTAGAGCTGCTGTGAGTATAAATGGCAGCGTAGCCACGGCAACATAGGCAGTGGCAGCAGGGCCTGGCTTGGCACTTTCAGGCCGGTTTGCAGCTGTGCCACTGTTAGACATTGGCAATGCTGCTATTTATGCTCGCACTAGCTCAACGAGAACTAGCATGAGGATGTGTGTGCAAGCAGGGGCATCACGGCCCTAGCGTGTAGCACAGATGTGACCTCTGACAACAAGGGTGCTGCAAATCAGACTGGATTGAGGTGCCTCGGCTGAGCTGTCCAGGGAAACCTCACGCAGGGACTGCTAACCTTCTACCGGGCTTCAGCTGGGGCTAGGAGTCTTTCTATGAGAGTCCTGTGGCAGCTTATAGACTAACAGCTGTATTGGAGCATGGTCTATAAGGTGCCACAGGACTCTTGGCTGCTTTTACAGATCCAGACTAATACGGCTACCCCTCTGATACTTCCATATAATGAGCATCATGCTGAAAACCAGGAGTAAAGTAGAAAGAAAGTGGGGAGCTAAGAGGCTAGAGACGGAACATGTCCTGGAGATTAGATAGGGGTCCTGAGAGAGGTGTTGGAAGAACAAAGATAGCAAGAGGTCAACATTCATATTACAGAACTTTGGTATTGACCGTGCATTTTTTTCGTCTTATTTGTGCATTACATAAAGTCACTCCCAATGCGGCCAAGAGGCACCATGAAAGGCAACAGAATTAACTACAAAGGCCACTCTAGAGACCACCGCGGACACTATAAGCAGCACTGTTCATTTACCAGAGGACCCATCCATCCGAGGAAGGCATATTTTAGGTGTAAATAAGTAAAATTTAAGAAATTAATGAGTTCTACCATATGATTTTATCCTTAAAAATTAACAACATTCCAGTAAATGAGCAAAGAAGAAATAACTTCTTTCACTAGGTTTATTACATGCATGGAAAATCTTAACCCTTCATGACATCATCGCCACAGCCCTTATTGTATTTAGGGAAATATACATTTCCAACAAGCTTCAGCTCCTGATGGCTAACCACAGCCTCTCTGAGCTGATGGCATGAGATGTTGGGGCCAGTTGTTTCAAGTAAACACAGCTGTCATACATGCCAATGTCCTCAGAGCAAAGCCCAGTAGATTTCAGTTCTCCAAAAAATTTGCATAACTCTGCATAGAAATGAAGAGAATGGGAGGTAGCGTGCAAGGAAGTGGAGAGAGAGAGGGACTCCAGCATTTCATCTTTCTTGCCCATCCCAACATCAGCATTCTATCCCAACCCCTGCAAACCAACTTCATTGGGAAGGAGGGTGGGAACCCATTCTCCCCCTAACCCAACTTCACTGCAAAGAACCCTAATATCATCCAACTTCACTGAGAAAAATAAACCAAAATACCCAACCCACCACCAAATTCACTGGGGGTGGGAGGATCCTCCTCCAGCCAACTTCATTGCCAAACTATCCCTCCCCATTCAAACCAACTCCATTGCAAAACCCATCCCCTCACCTTTGGGAGCCTAAGGGGTGAGCAGTAATGCCCTGACAATCTCCTCCCAAGCCTGGGGAAGGCAGCTGCTCTCCAGTCAGATCTCAGCACACAGCAGCACTCTCTGGGAGTGGAGCAGGAGGGCACTCTAACTGGTCCCCTTGCTGAAGGTCCAGGCTGTCCCACATCACATGCAGGAGCTCGGATTGGCTCCCCTTCCCTATTTCACACCCTCCTGGAGAAAGGCAGCCAATCAGACTGTGGACAACTCCGGAAACCTGTAGTCTCTCGAGAAAACACAAAATAGTTCCCCAATATCATGGTTATATATTGCATTTGTGACCTGCCTGATGCCAAGCGGTAAGTCCATAGCAGATTTGGGACTAGAATTTAGGCTGTTGCTGGTTCCCAGCCCCATGCTCCTTCCTTTTGCCCTTCTCTCCCCCCATATTTCATCAGGGGGTGGGAAATAGCTGTTTAAAACCCACCTTTAATGAATTGTATCTAGAGCTGGGTAACATTTTTCACCTGAAACTCTTTTTCAACAAAAATGCAGATTTAGGTCAACCAAAACTTTTCATGAACTGGTGTCAATGTCTCCAATTTGTTTCGGTTGGAAAAAAAAATCTGTAAAAATTAACCTGTTTCATTTCATTATTTTCAAAATGAAATGTGTCCATTTTTTTAAAATCAGAAATAATTTTCTGGTTTTCCATTTACTTTTATTTTTAAAAGTTTTTAAAAGCTCTGAAATGAAATATTTCATCTCAGGTGGAACAAAACATTTTATTGGACTCCAATTTTGTTTTTCAATTTTTATGTTCCCTGAATTTTTTGTCCAATTTTTCAGAACTGCCAGTGAACTGAAAAATAAACATTATTTGCAGAGTTCTTATTGTATCAGAGAGACCTGACGTTGTAAGATGTGCTGGCAATGAAGGGCTAGTGGGGAGAGGAGAGCCTGGGAATCAATCTTCAAGGGGAACAAATATTTAACACTGAGTTCTTCAGTCTAGCAGAGAAAGGTATAACATGATCCAGTGGCTGGAAGTTGAAGCTAGACAAATTCAGACTGGACATAAGGCATACATTTTTAATGGTGAGAGTAATTAAGTATTGGAATAATTTACCAAGGTTGTGGTAGATTCTCCATCACTGACAATTTTTAAATCAAAATCGGATGTTTGTCTAAAAGTTCTGCTCTAGGAGTTATTTTGGTGGAGTTCTATGACCTTTGTTACATGGGAGGAGAAACTACAGAATCACAATGGTCCCTTCTGGCCTTGGAATCTGTGCATTTCACATTATAGTTTGAAGAACTTCACTCCTTTTGTGAATATATCATTTATCCTTACATGAAGTCCTGCTAGTTCTGCAAACATTTGTAGTGTCCCAGCAAAATTCTGGTGCATCCTCTAGCTCCTAGCACTTCTCTCCTCCCATTTTGCTCCTAGGGTGATGGATCTACCTGTGTATTTGTATGCGGCATCACCGTAATCCATGCTGAGGGGGAATACTTTCTTTAAGGCAGACAGCTTTGTCCTGCAACAGCAACATACCTTTGGATATAGCAGCTGGTTTCCCCCTCCCTTCTCCACTCTTGCTAATTCTTCTTGTCCTTGTCAATTCTTCAAGACATAGCTATGTCCAAGACACACCAATTTCCCTGCCCAGCATGGCTGACTCAGGGAGAAATTCTAAGATGACAGCAAAAGACAAAAAGCTCCCCGAAGGAGAAAGAAGGTGACAAGCTGAATTCAGCTGGCCCGAAGCTTTCATCCACATCCCACTAGTGTGAAATAAATTCAAACATCTCCTGTGCAGCGCCAGGGCCATATATTTGAAGCTAAATGTTTCCCTTTCATTCGGGAAGACGATAATAATAGTCTTTCTGTCCAGTAAAGATGAGAAGGGGGCTGGGAAATATCGAGAACGGCCTGAAGACTACGCCAGCAATTATAATAATTTAAATCAAGTTCCCTTTTCTCAGGGAACCAATATCAGTTTGCATGAGAAAACAGTCTTCCTGGGAATTCACTAGTGAAAATTTGCCATTTTCTCTGGTGAAAATGAGTGTAAGAATTGGAAGAATTTGTGACCCAGCATAATTGGATCCTGTGCCAAAGAAAATGAGATTTTTCCTCCCTGCTCCCTCACAGCTCCTTGGAGGGCGGGGAAGGCAGTTGTCACAGTGGAAACAATGTCGGTGGAAGTGTGCATGAGAGGGCGCAGTTCGCAGCCCTAGCAGCTGGAGCTATCTTGAATTGAGAGTGCTCCGAATAGCACCTCTCCAGCAGAATGGCAGTATCCAGATACCACATACCCTGCCGTGTTGCCACTCCAGGCTGGGTTTCAAACGGCTGGGAAGGCAGTGGGTTATGTAGAGAAGGGCCCAGCTTTCCATATCCCAGTGCCGCCAACTCCCTACAATTTCACTGCGATATTTTGAGTCATAGAGTTTAAGACCAGAAGGGAACAACAGATCATCCAGTCCAGCCTGTATATCACAGACCACCAAACTCCACTCAGCACCCACACACCAAGCCAACAACTCGAACCTGATCAAAGTATGAAAGCCTCAGGAGACTAAACTATTGTGTGCCACAGGCAGAGAGAGAACAGGAGGGACCAAGGTGCACAAGTGCCCAAGCCCCTGCAGTGGCAGGGAAGTGATTAAATATTTGGTTTTGTACTTAACGCCCCAGCTCCTGGAGTCATGTGATTGTGAGACTGTCTAAGATTTTAGTTCAAAAAAAATGTTTCTAGCCCTTATGGTTACAGAGAAAAGCTTAAGAATGTGACCGCAGTGTCCCTGAAAGGCTCAAAAAAACCCTGAAAAATATAAAATATAGCCCAAAATGTATTTTTTTAAATCTTGTGATAAGAATAATCTGATTTGACTAATCTGCCCATCTGATATGGACTTTGGTTACATTAATGACATAGAAAAGGCTATATACATACCATGCCTCCACTTTCTAGTCTTTCAATTCCACCTCAAAACAGACTTCTTCCATGAAACCTCACTCTAAATAAGAAGGGGGGGAAACTAACACACAGCAATCTCAAGACATGTGCATCAATCAGCAACACTATCTCACGGTATTTGTTGTCAAACTCATCCTCCCTTTCCTATTACCTCCACTAGTCCCCAAATTTTGCTACTTCCTCTTGTCATTATTATGGTCTCATTTTAGGGACTGATCCTGCAAACACGTCCTTACGTGAACAGGGTGACTTTAACATCATTCACTATTCACATGAAAAAGTATTTCCTGGATAATGCCCATAGATTGCCAGATCTTGAGGAAACAGGGTACAATTTTCAGAAGTGCCTGAGTACTCCATTAATAAGCGATATTTATTATATATATTACATATAACATGGTAGTGATGGTGATGCCCATCTGATCAATTGCAGAACCATGCGGTAAGCTATCCAACTTCTTAGAGTAATATACTGCACTTGCTTCTATTAGAGGACCTCAAGATATTGGATTTTAAACCCCATCCTTATTCTGCATAGGAAAAACAACACATGAGGTCATTTAAAGAGGTTCTAAAATGTATTAGGCATAATTTCTCTCTCGCTCTGAGGCCTGTAACAGAGGGAATCCTGGGACTGAGGTGCTTGGTTTTACAAGAAGAAGAATATGGACCTGATCCAAAGCCCACTGAAGTTAATCGAAAGACTGCCATTGATCTCAGTGGGTTTTGGCTCAGGCCCTATTTAAAAAAAAAAAAAAAAGGATCAATCCAATTTTAGCTCTCTCCAGAACATTTCTAAAATGGATTCTACTAATCTATATGGCACATGCAGAACAGATTGTGGGGTGAGGTAGGAATGATGGTTTTATTGGCCCGCACCTGGAATATCTGTGTAACGCATTTGTGGCTTTGTCACTCAAGAGCCATCCCAAGCTTATGCCAACAAAACGTCTGTACCACACCACGCCGCTTTGCTCCAATATTTGAGTTTTATCTGTTTCGATTTAGACACATAAAAAGAAAAAAAAAAACCACACTATCCTAGGCCCCAGGGAGTCACTTGCATACACATTGACACCTACATACACGGGCACCTTGCAAATGCATTCATGCTCGTGAAGACAGACAGGCAGGCAGGCAGGGTATAAATGGCCAAAAAACAACCCCTGTGAGGTTCGCCATACAGGAGAGTTGGAAGAAGCACATGGCATGAGCAGCAGTCCAAGGCATAACACTTCCTGGGTACCCGGAGAACGGCTGGAGGTGTCCCTGGCACCTTTAAAGAAGATATAGCAAGGCACGTCCCAGTGTGAAGCTACGCAGGTGGGAAGAAGGGTCACACCATGCATTCCACACAGGATGCATCGCCACCACCACGGCTTAAACTGCCCCTTTGTGCCCAGGAGCACTGGCAGCCACCCGAATGCTGCATTCTGCATGGGGGTTTCTCCCCCAAGGCCCCCATGAAGCAGGGGCAGGTGTAATTTAGCCCTGCATGTGTATATTATCCAAACACGGTATCTGGCTACATGTATCAATGTATGTTACGATCTACATAGAAACGGATAATTGGGCAGGTGGGGTTACTTATTGATTTACCACCACCCTGGCATACTGGGAACCAAACCAGATCTCCCTCCTCGCCTCCCCGCCATCCATTTGAATACCATTGCACATCTGAAGCAGAATCTCCCTGTCACAGCAAATGGAGCATGCTCCCGTCACACTTGCCTTCCCTGGAAGTGAAAGGATATTATTCAGGCATGAATCACTCGAATCAGGGCAGTTTTGCTCCCAGAACCCTCCTCAGCCTGGAGCCGGCATGCTCAGCTGACATCGGCTGTGATGGCAGAAGTTGCGGCATGCCCCTTTATGGGAAGGAGACTCACGGGCAGCGGTCCCTGCAGTCAGCTGTGCTGGGCATGTTGTTTATCATTCCAGCCCAGGGCAGTTGGACCTGGCCGAAGGACAGCTTGGCCTCTGCCTAGTGTTTCAAAAGAAAAGAAAAACAAAACAGAGCGGGGCGACCGCAGTTCAAACACAGGCATTAAAATAAACTAGCCGTTACAAAGAGCGTCCTACTCCAGACAGTGGCAACGGTGTTACCAACTTGCAGCTGGTTTCACCGATCCAGAGCTATACCTGGCATGCCCCAGAGGCCGACTTTTGTGCATTGAGTTCACAGAGGGCCTCCCGCATAGAAGCTCATTAACAAATCCTCGGTCATTTTTGGCAGCGGGGCTTAGGCTTTAACGGCATTTAGGCGCTGTAGGAAATTTTACCCCAACCCTCCCTGAAAGTCAATGGGCCTTCGGCTTCTCAAGACACGAATCACTTTCAGATGTAGGACTTGGGCGCCTAGGTCACAGAGGTGCTTTTGAAAATGGATTTGCCCAAGATTATGCAGCAAGCGCAGGGCCGAGCCGGGAATTGAACCCCAGACTTCCTAGCTCACAGTTCCATGCCTGAGCCACCAGATCACATTGCCGTCCACCAACATCAATCAGCTCGGATGCATACCCCAGCTCACCTTCTTTGTCAGGAAGGAAGTATTCTGCAGGGACCTGCCTTCAGGGACCTGCTGTAGGCCGCCTCGCTTGGGTTCCCTGGTTAGTCTCACTGTGTGAGCCTGGTTGGGAGCGGTGCCGTCACCAGAGCCCAGCAAAGCACAGGGGTGCGGGCCAAGCCAGCATTAGCACAGGGAAGGGGCGGTGGGCAGATCCCTAGGAAAGTCTCGACCAATGCTCCCTCCTGCATTTAGGAGGCTGAATTTAGCTCGGGAACAAGGGTCCTTCCTCGGCTGACTGATGCCCTCCCCTCCCCCCACAAATCTTCCATCTGCTGCATGCTGCCCATGGGCATGCTCTTGGCTCGTTACTAATTTGGGTTCGTCTCTTTGGTTCGCTTCACTTGTTTGTTGTGAGGGGAAAAAAGAACTAAGAAAAACAAACCAAAAAGGGGAAAACTTTTTGCTTGGTGTGGGGAGGGCTCAGAACGGGCACCACCCCCAAGCCTAAAGAGCCAATCCCTCTCCTCTGGTGGCTTTACAGCTCCCTCCTGTTGTTGCTTTTCAATATTATTTTTAACTCTCTCTTTGGTTTCTAAGCACAGCCTGGTTGCTAGGGGGTCAGAGGTCAGATAAGCCCCAGTAGCTGCTGTTGCCTGTGTGGAAGACACCCCCATCCCTGATCTTTATCCCCAACCATGCCCACAAGATCCTCTGTGCACCTGGCAGCTTTTCCTCATTTTACACACATGATAACCTGGAGGTTGGACACCCAGTTTCTGCCCTCCCGTGAGTCACCTTCTGGTGTTCATTCAAGGCTCGAGGGTTAGGCACTGCTTCCCACTTCCTTCCCTCTCTAATTAAACTAATCGGTGTATTTAACATGGAAGCAACAACACCAGTGCGACTGCTGTTGGATGCCATTTCCTGTCCCCAAGTGCCTTTCACAAAGAATAAAGACAAGTTTCAGAGTAGCAGCCGTGTTAGTCTGTATTCACAAAAAGAAAAGGAGGACTTGTGGCCCCTTAGAGACTAACAAATTTATTTGTGCATAAGCTTTCGTGAGCTACAGCTCACTTCATCGGATGCAGGGCACATGGGCCGGAAGGATGGTTTAGTGGGTGAAGCACTGGACTGGGAGTCAAGAGGATGGGGATTTGAGTCCCAGCTCAGCTTTAGACTTCCTCTGTGACCTTGAACAAGTTACTTAGTCTGTGCAGGTCCCCCTCTGGAGAATGAAGGTACCACTTATGTACCTTATAGGGGTATCAAGGATAAACCCACTAATGCTTCCAGCCATCTTAGGTCCTTATCTAGCCTCCATTACCATGATAACTGAGCACCTCATAAGGTACATCTACACTGCAATTAAAAACCTGCAGCTGGCCTGTGCCAGCTGATCCAAGCTAAGGGGTTTGAGCTAAGAGGCTGTTTAATTGTGGTGCAGATGTTTGGGTTTAGGCTGGAGCCTGGGCTCTAGGACCCTGCAAGGAGGGACATCTACAAACGTCTAACTATCTCTGTTGCCACAAATGCAGTCTGTCACATCTGCAGAATGACAATGTCATGGTTTCTCTCCTTTTCCAAGTAAAATAAATGTACTTTAAGTTTAGAAAACTATTAATCCGTTTTGAGAAATGTTCTATATGGACAAATCTATGGCTCCTGTTTGCCAACAGGTGGCCAGTCACCACAAGGGTGAACTAAAAGACTCCCCACCCTGATCTCCCATGGCTGGAGTCACCACAAGTGAAATCTTCCCACTGACCAAGCCGACATTCACCTAGAGACCTTTGTGGTCTTCAGACAATGGCAATACCAGATGCACTAAAGGGAAGAGTCTCTCTGGTTGTCACTCCTCTACATGTCGCTTTGTGGTGGAGAGGTTCGGCAGACCCGCTAACAGCAACATACTAAGGGAGCGCACAGTCAGTAATGTTAAAGGTTTTGGTCAAAGTTCATGTGAACCTATCCTACACAACCATGGTATACTCTTTTAGAAAACATGTTATTATGAGCAGTTCTTGTCCGGATTCTAGGACGGAGCGGGAGGGAGATGGCTATTAAGTGAGAGCTGAACTCCACTTGAGGCTATGAGGATTAATAGATGGTTGATCTTGTGGTGTTTTCATGTTTCGGCCAACTTGACCACCACTAATGGAGTAAATAGGAAATGCAGTAGAGCAGTACAAGCAACTAGGCAATCACCAGGACAGGAATGATTGAGGTGGCAAAGAAGAGCAGAGGCAAATCACTATAGCCATGAGAGGTAGCGCAAGAAGCAAAAGGAG